CAATAAAACTTGGGATGTTTTTTCAGTTTGTTCACAGAGGGCCCGGAAGTGAAGGGCAAGTAAAGGACATGCATTTAAAATAATAAAAGTTATTATCTTAAATAATAGGTTTTGTTCAAATTGTTTCAACAACGACATTGTTAAGACTGTATCTGTAGTCAAGAAAGTATTCTAGATTTGTGCTATGTGCATCAGGCTCCCAGTGGATAGGGATATTTGTAAGGGATATATATATAAAACACTGTAGCAGTAGACATCCAAATACAGGCAGAAATAAAACACACTGGTGTAACCACAAGGGAGTTAATATTAAAAAAAAAAAAAGCTTAAGAATAGCATTAGTTAAAAAAAAAGCTTGCCAAATGGAAAAAGTTCAAGCTAAAATATTTTTACCCTTTTAACATTGTAATAAAAACAATGGAGCATAGAAATAAATCCAATTGATACTATTTGTGAAGTCTAAATGTTAAAACTTAAGAAGAAATCAATCATTAAATAGTATTATGTGTGTAGATGTACATTGTTCTGTGCATAAGGAGTCACACTGTTCTTTTGTATATTCACCTACATGCATACATACATACACATACATAGATTAAATTCACAGATGTTCTGTTGGACTCAAAACTCCCATCTGTTTTACCTTAACACAACTTCCACTTTTGTCTTTCAAGAGAGTTGCCCTGCAAAAGCAACAAAAGATACAGGGAAAAGTAAAATAAACTGATTATGTAAAACTGAAAGCAAATAAATAGATTAGCAAAATGAATAAGCAAAATGAAGGAAGTTGCCAACATGCCACTTAAAAAGTCTGGAATAATTCTAGAAACAACTTAAAGTTGAGCAGCAGTAATTCATAGCAAACCTGCATTATTGAATAGTTACCTGATCCACCTATATGATTGCAAGGCCTTGCTCTGTAATTGCACATGCAGCAAAAAGAGGAATCTATTAAGAAAATGTACAGACAAGTAACTGTTAGTGTTTGATTATCCCAACAGTACAATCAATGGATGAAAAGTTTAAATCTAGACTAGTTCAATTTTGTAAAAAGACTAGTAATTTTTCTATGAATTGAGAAAATATACTCATTTTCCTCACCTTCTGAAAGAGGGAAGATCTTACACTTTGACGAAGTGATTATTAAGTTGGAAGTGATATTTCCAGGACTGAAAATGATCTCAGTAGAGCCCACGTCCATTAATAGCTCACTATAAATACCTGATCATAAGATACTCTGGGACTTTCTCTATGTTTCTTTCATATGGGTTAGCTATGTTTAATAATCTGACCTGACAAATTGGGTCAGCAAAACAGGGAATTAGGAGTCTGGTTCCTTTGTAAAAATATTCTTGTTAGAAGTTTTTGGAATGAGAACTTCAGAACTGTAAGCAGCAGCTATGTAGGCAGTTAGGGTCTGGCAATCAGAAGGTGTCGCGCTGTACGGAAAGATAAGACCCCCCTCCGAGTAGCCAATAGGGCCTAGCCTAGGTCGTAAGCAGACGGACGTGACGTTGTAAACCCAGGCTATATAACACCGTGTTACGCGCCAATGAACGCCATTTGCTATCCAGCAGATTGGTGTCCCTGAGCTGGTAGCCCGAGCTGCCTGGGATTGGTCGCCACGCCAACGAAGGCAAGTGGTGCCGAAACCCGGGAATCGTCTGGAGAGGTGAACGGCGGCCGGAGCGGCTGGACCAGCCCGGCGGGGAGGACGCTCCCAAGCGAACAAGGAGGATGGAAGCCCTTGTGAAGGTCGTATCTCAATTACATAAGCAGTGGGGTATTGATTGTAAGCCCAAAGATTTTACTCTCGCAGCCGCGAGGCTTTTACAAACTGGGGTCATTGACCAGCCAGTGGATATTCTCCACCCTGAGGTGTGGGATAAATGCACTAAAGTGTTAGCCGAGGAGACGATGTCCTCGGGTAGTGGGAAATACCTTGAGTCGTGGGGGAAAATTGTACAGGCCCTGTGAAAGGCCATACAAGAGCAGGAGACCTGGAAGGCGGCAAAGAACTCCCAAACAGAAATTGGGAGTCGGGGCAGCTACACAAACTCTGCACCCCCCAGACGGTGACGGCTCTACCGAGCCTAAAGATATGCAAGAAGGCGACACGCCTCCCCAATCCCTGAATTCCGACCCGCCTACGGAGGGACAGGAACGAGCAAAATCCTTCTGGAGAGGGCTGGTCGAGGAGGCCAGGGGCGCCGCGGAGAAGGCGGAGTCCGAGGCAATTGGGGTTAGCCCGCCGCCCTATGCGCCCCAAAATGGCGCTGAGCGGAGAGAAGAGGGGCGGGGCGGGGCGAAGATATCCCCCGCGGGAAGAAGGAGGAAGTGCTAGAACTAAAAAGTGCGAGTACATGGGGGGCGGAGGAGAATCGGAAGGGGGAGGGACGCGCGAGCGCGGGGCGGACAGCCAATCAGAGCGGCCGTCTGAAAAAATGCTGTTGTAGGGCAAACACCCCGCCGAGCAGGGGGCGGGGCGAGCCCAGAGGGCGGGAACGGCCCGCCCGCAAGGGAAGCGGGCGGGGCCGGAGCCCAGTGAAAAGGCACGGGAAACCGGAAGTAACTAGTCAGTCGACTTCCGACTCGGACTCAGACAGTAGCTGGGACGAGTGGCTCGCAACCGATTCAAACTCAGAGGAGGAGGAAACGGAGGTAAACAAAGCTAAGAGCCGAAGGACTCCCATCCGGACTAAAGAGGAACGGCGAGGGGAAGGAGTCCCTCTCACAGACTGGAAGGAAATAGAGCTTGCATGTGCTGACTGGGCCCCATCAGTCAGACTGGCGTTCCCGGTCCAGGTGACAGACGGGACAGAGGGTCCATTCGCCAATAAATCCTAAGGATGTCCAAGCAGTTGTTAAGGCAATTGCGGATAAAGGGCTTAATTCTGCCATGGTTTTCACCCTTTTAGATGGTATTTTCGGGAGAGACGATACGCTCCCGTTCGATATAAAACGGGAATGGAGATGGGGATGGGAACAACGATGCAGGCTAGCCCTTACAGGGTGAGGGTATGCCGCTGTTAGAAAAAATGGCAGAGTTAGGTGGTGCCCACTTAAATCCATTAAACTAGACCTCCATAATAAAAACTAATGAAAATTGTGAGTTTCTGTTCACAGGATTAGATCATTGAACGCCCTCGTAACTCGTACGCCCCGGTGACAAGAGGGGCTATGATGCCTTTGTCTGATTTTGATTTTGGGGTTTGTTACTATAGGGCAAGTAGAATGATCGTGCTGGTATTACTCTTTGGACCCTGTATATTGAATCGCCTTGTGTCATTTGTGAAGAGCCGGCTAGAACAGGTTAACATCATGTTTGTAGAAAGCCACCAACTACTTTAAGACTGTATCTACCAGTATTACCCCCACTTATCCCAACTTGCCCCAACTTACAACCCGTCTCCCTAACTACCCCTCACTAACCACTTACCTGAAGTGCCTTCTACTGTAACATTTTATATGTATATGTGTACTCTTTTCTACTTTTTTACTTTTTATATTAGCCTATTTAATTAAACATAGGGAGGGGGGAAATGTAGGTAGTTAGGGTCTGGCGATCGGAAGATGTCACGCTGTACGGAAAGATAAGACCCCCCTCCGAGTAGCCAGTAGGGCCTAGCCTAGGTCGTAAGCAGACGGACGTGACGTTGTAAACCCAGGCTATATAACACCGTGTTACTCGCCAATGAACGCCATTTGCCATCCACCACATTGGTGTCCGTGAGCTGATGGCCCGAGCTGCCTGGGGTTGGTCGCTGTGCCAACAAAGGCAACACAGCTATTACATTACAGAAAGAAAATTCTTCAGTGCTTTCCTAAGAGAGTAAACTGAAGATACTCTTTTAAGTAAAGTCCTAACAGTAAGACAGTACAAAAAGAAAAACTAAGCCAAATGAAAGTAAACATAAACAAGCAAAATCAAGCAAGAACTTTATTAAAACTTACTACATTTTTCTGATTGCTTAACATCAATTCACATATTAAACAGAAAAACAAACAAAAGATAGAGTCTTTAAATGGAAAACCACAATTTCAGAAAAACAGACCTGTGCTGAAAACTCACGCCAGTGTAACATACAGTAAAGAGGGAACTGAATCATAGATGCCTAGTTAGCTAGTGACTGTAGGACGGAGTGAGACTTGCTTTATTTACTGCTACTGTATTTTATGGAGGGATGCTTACAAAGCAATAATGATGGCTGTGTCTGTATGCAATAGTTCTTTGCTAGAGAGATCTAGGAAGAATGCTTGAGTATTTTTAATATTTTTTATTTTAAAGAAAACAGAAGTGCAGAATCTGTGAACGAATAGAAACTGGACTGACTCTCTGGAGCAGTAGGGAAACAGATAACATTTTAGCACCTGCTACAGATTGTTAAACAATTTCTCATACTGCAATCTTTGCTGTTGCTATGACAGAACATACTACCTACTAGCTTTCCACTGACATGTTTCAGTGCTCTTAATGCTTCAAGTTCATTAACTGCAATGTTTCTCTCTGAAAGTGCAGACCAGTTTCATTTTCCATTAAGATGTATTTTGTGATATTGAAATAATGCATAAAATTGATGTTTAAACATTAATAATATTACTAAAGGCTAAAATCCTAGCTGTATCTTTTATAGATTCTAAAGATGCTAATAATAACAACACACAGTTTTTTAAGACACAATAGTGAGTATCAGAAAATATCTGCATGCCCTCTTATAATATAAAAAAGTCAAGATGTTTCTTTTACACAGTATATTCCACTTCCTCTGTAAGCCAACGAAAAGATCAGGATCTAGTGAAGCCTGTATCTGAACTGTCCAAAGTTAGTCATCCAGCTGGCAGAGCAATGCAACACCTCACTTGATCCAATGTTGTACTGGTTTATTCATGTTAAGCATCAAAGCAATGACAAAGTTAGCAGAATGTCCAGTAGTAGATAAAACTCCTTTGGCTCGCTTGTCTTGTAGAGTGGGCAAATATGCGCATTAGATTTCGAACACTAACTCTTATTATGACTTTATTATGGCAATTGCATTTTCAATACTAGTCAACTGCAGTGTAGCAAATTTTCACCTCCCTATGAATTACCTAGTACTGACAACAAACAAATTAAGGTAATAGTAAGACCTGCTGAAGGTTTTAAGCAACGACTCCACAGAAAGCCCTCTATTGATATAAAAAAATCTGAAAATACGTTATTTATGCATGTCTAAGTTAGTATGATTCATGTTACATGTGTTACATTTAGCCTGTTGATGAAATTAACAGCTCAAGTAGTGTGAAAAGTCTAACAAGCCAAAATACACCATAAACCAAGAAAATGCTCTTACATCATCATGCTCATCAAAAATAGGGCCAATCCTCTTTGGCCATAATTGAACTGTTGCATTCAGTGCAATGTCTTCAGGATCAAATAAAAAATTGTCTAAGAAGTAAAGCAGCTGCTGAGAGCACTTCTGTGAAAAGAGATTTCACAAAACTTTAAGTCTCAGAGATCTGTTAGAATATAGGGTAAGACAATATTATTTAAAAAGATAAAACATAAGTCTACATTGCATAGACTTTTCAGAATTCAGAGCCATTTCAGCCAACCAAATATTAATATGCAAAATACATATATAAAAAATATTAAAATCCCTGACCCGTTTGTAAGCCTGTTTCTCTAAATATGACTCCTGTGGCCTGTAAATCTAAGTGCAAAAATCCTAATATTATTAAAAATATAAACCCCATAAATTCTTCAGAATAAACATGCTATATTTACAGACCTATTACCATAACAGAAAATATGATACATCTCATCACAACCTATAGCAAAGACCTTCTTATCCAATATTGTTTTTGGCTGACCCACACCTTACACAGTTCTGTTCTCTGAGCACACACAGAGTACTACTGGCTAATGAAACATCATCTATATCCTGCTCAAAGAGTAAATTGCTGCTTGTGTGGTTAGAGTTATGACTGGTTTTACACATAATATTCTTTTACACTTGTGTGTTACATTTTTACAAATAGCTTTTTAAGCAGCTCTGAAGTAAGTCTCTAGGTACAAACAATCTGAGTGGTTTACAACCTGCTATGATTTATTAAAAGCTGCATTTCCTCACCAACATACAGAACACATAGGTGTGGAGAGTAAGAAGGAAAGGCATAAAGCAAAGAATGAGCTGGACTTTGGTCTGAAGTAACACTGAGGATACAGTTTACCCGTATCTGCAGCATGATCAGACAAAAGTCTGCACTCCAGAATGAATTCTGTATTTGTACAGGCCAGAATGTTTGGTAAAAGACTAAGAATTAAAAGAGTAATTTACCTTGATCCTTAACAAGAGGTCCTTAATATCTTTGTCTTTGACTTTGTTTATGTAAGCTACTGTTTCCACCATTTCTTCTGCTGTTTCAGGAACTTTTAATGCACGTTCCTTAATGGCTTCAAATTCCCTGCATATCCTATAGATTTATTTTACACAAATATCAAAATTTTAAGATTCGCGTTTGACTGGCTTCGAGCTCAACTTTAACAGAATTAAAACTACTTCTTTAACACCCCACACACCAACTCCATTACTTTATGAAACAAAATAGGGAATATGACCAAGCCAGTCTAGAAAAATACTGCTTCTTAACTTGCAACAATTGATTTGTTTGGATTCTGGGGTCTTGTTTTGCAGTCAATGTTTCAGTTACTATTGGTGAGGATATGAACCTAAGTACAGTATCACTGGCATACACACAAACACTTTCATAATAAATATTTTGTCATTTTGGTAATATGGTTATCACTATAAAATTTGACTATAGCTGTTCATTTTAACCAAAACTTAGTATGACTTCACTTACAATTTAATCCATACCTGCAAAGTAATGTCCTGTTTAATTAATGTGATACCCCTTCTGTGTTAAGGTCACCTGCCTAGTGGGTGAAGGGAAGGCAGTGGATTTAGTTTTTTCTGCACTTTAGTAAGGCTTTTGGTACTATCCTGCACAGCATCCTTCTGGGCAAGCTGTCCAGCTGTGGGGTGAATGAATTCACAGTGCACTGGATGAAGAACTGGCTGAAGCACAGAGTTCAAAGTGTTGTAGTGAATGGCACTTCATATGGCCAGCAACTGGTCATCAGTGCTGTTCTCAGGGCTCAGTTCTAGGGACAGCTCCTCTTTATACATTTATCAACAATCTGAATGCAGGAGTTGAATGCACCATTATCAAGTTTGCTGAGGATATCAAACTGGGAGGTGCTGTTGACTCCCTTTGAGGGATGGGATGCCTTGCAGAGGGATCTGGATAGACTGGAGAATTGGGCTATGACTAATGGGATAAAACAAGTCAAAGTGATGGATTCTGCTCCTAGGATGGAGTAATGCCAGGCACAAGCATAAACTGGGAGAGGAGTGGATGGAAAGCAGCCCCACAGAAAGGGATCCAGGGGTGCTGGTGGGCAGCAGGCTCAGTATGAGTCAGCAGTGTGCCCAGGCAGCCAGGAAGACAAACCTCATCCTGGAGTGCATTACACACAGCTTAACCAGCCCATCAAAAGAGGGAATTATCCCGTATTCAGTGCTGGTGCAGTTTCACCTGAAGTACTGCAAGCACTTCTGGGGCCCACAATTTAAGCAGCATATTCAGGTACTTGAATGCGTCCAGAGGAGGGCAGCAAAGCTGGTGAAGAGCTGGAAGGCATCTCCTGTGAGGAGCAACTAAGGACTTGGGTCTTCTCCAGCTTGGGGAAAAGTAGGCTCAGGGGCAACCACATTGCTCTCCATAGCTTGCCGAGGAAGGGAAGTGACAAGGGAGGTGTTGATCTCTTCTGTCTGGTAACCAGTGACAGGACACGTGGGAATGGTTCAAAGCTCTACCAGAGGAGTTTAGACTGGACATTAGGAAATATTTCTTTACTGATGTGATAAACACATAAATGTATTGGCTTTCACAAGTCATAGGTGTGGTTATGTAGATATAACTGCACAAGCTTACAATAACAGAAACAAAGCTCGCTAAAGACACAAGATTAGAAAAGTTAAAAGGGCCTGAACTCTTGAGCAAAACAGAGTCAAATAGCAAAAGAATTTGTAAAGGTAAAAGATAGAGGGGTGGTTGATATAGGAAAAGTTAGTGCCTGTGAAGTTCTAGAGGTATCTATTATGTAATAAAAGAATCTAGCTAGTCTTTTCTTTGACAGTGCAGTAATACACACTTAAAAAGCCAGAGTGGTAATGAATCCCTTTGATCTTTTGGCGCCTCTGTTATCCAAGTCTATTAGTAAGTTCTCCTACTAGGTTTTGAGTCTAAAACAGAGGGAAAAAATATATCAGCTGCTGCAACTTGCATCAGGTTATTAGTTTGCCAAGAGTCTTCATTAAACACAAGTACGGTATGTTTGTATTTCTTCTACATGCATCTACTATGCATTTAACACATATAACATTCACAAGCAGAAAATTCTGCTTACTTTTCATTTTCCTCTCTGTAATTTGCGACTATTCTGTCCATTAGCACTTTTGCAAAGGCGTTTGCGCTACTTGCCAAACCTTGCTTTAAATCCTCAGAATTCAAATAGACCATGGGGAAATAAGCCACCTCAGGTAAACTCAAGATTTCCTTCGTGTGGGTGAAGAATTCATCTATTAACTTCAGAAAAGCATTAGATTTTACACTTCAGAGCTGTTATTTAAATACTTGGCTACATGAGTCAGTATTATACATTGGAAAAAATGTATTTTTTTTCTATTTACCACAGATTTTTAGGAGAAAAACGACTTAATGTTGTAGATTTGTAGGCAGTCAACATAATATTTAGCTAAAGGTTAAGCACCCCTTATCCTCTGTTTCCTTTTTATTATTGCTCTATGTATAGTGAAAATTAAAGATAAAATGTAGCGTGAAAACTTACAGCAGTGTATTCATCAAAACTATGTTCTTCTGCTACAAATCTTTCTACCCGTGCCTGTGCAGTCTCGTCTACAAGCCAGCCATACTTTTCAACTACAATTCAATTAGATTGGATTAATACTATTATAACAAATACACTGTCCCATAAATTATTTATTATAAAGAAGTGTGAGAAACTATAGACTAGGGTATTGTTTATTAAGATATATGTTAAGCCCAATGTAAAGGTTAGGCAACAAAAGATATGAAATCGCTTATGCAAACAGCCACCGGACACAGCTTAGGCAAGATAAGATGACCGCAATCGCTTACACCAACTAAACCAGAGACCGCTTATGCAAACATAAGATAACTGCAAGATGTTCCAGGAACTGTCAGAAATAAGACAAACCACTCCATATAAGGACATAGGAGTAGAGGAGTCAACTATGGGACAAAAGAGGAAGACTTCTTACTTCGGCCTCAACGACCACCAGGAGGCAGAAAATGACCCCCTAACAACAACTGAAGCATGCGCAGAGTACCTCCACTACTTCATGAACACGGAAGTAAAGATGTATAAAAGGGGGCTGTTTGAACTGATCAGCACGGCAGTTGGCGGAGCGCAGACTCCCCTGTTGTCCAGCGCTGTTTTTGCTCATATTCTACTTGCTATAATTAATAAAATTTTAATTGGATTATGATCCGTTGTGGTCTCAATTTATAACAAGAAGTAACACAGTAAACTCTTCTAACACTCACCATATATTTCAAAATATTTCTTTGGACCTTCTAAGTTGCCTCTGATATGCTTTTTCAGTGTAGATGTGGCCCATTCTAAGACATGCTTAGGAAGCTCAGCGTCCAGAGTTGCAGTGTCTCCCGTTAGCCAAGAACATACCGTTTGGAAGTTCTAACACGAGTGCAAGTTTTAATTATTTAGATCTTAAAAAGCAATACCAGGATATATATAGTTTAAGAGTAAGTTGCAGTCTGCAGAAGACATTGAAAAATGAGACCCCTAATTGTTACCAAGGTCAGGTGCTTCACACACACCTAGAATGACTCTTCCCATTTCAAACAGTTTAACAGGAAACACATGAAACAGACAAAAAAGAATAACCCACTGTTACAGAAAAATAAATTTTGTCCTATGTGCTAACATATACAACTAAATGCAAAACACTTCTTTCAAAGTACCATCATGAATGATTAAAGGCCAGTACTTAGTCCACAGAGATGATACAGCTAAAGGTCTCAGAAAGGCTGTCCTCCCCAGAGTCACAGGTTGGTTCTCAAGACATAAATCTTTACATATTGTATGTATTAGTTGTTAAGAGATTTGAGGTTTTTCTTTTTCTTAGAAAGAAAAGGAATAGCAACTCTAATTTTCTCCGGGATCTTAGTCATTAATGCAAATTTATTATAAATCATCACACATATAACTAAGGTGCTAATTGTATTTCTATACAAAATGTTAGTTTATAGCAAGTATACACAGGAAGACTACATAATTTTCCATGTTCAAATAAATATCTAAATAAATAAGAAGACGTGGGTACTTGTACTTAAAGCACTCTCAGTTTTCTGAATATACCAAATAAGAAAACAAAAGGCTTATTTTCTATCTAGTTTTCTTTCCTGAGTAGGTTTTTAGTCTGAATTTCTTTAATGAACAGGCAGATAATCCATTTGTAGACCTGCAGTTTCGCAGATTAAACCTGCAGACTAAAACTATCAGTAGCAGGGACCCCCATTTTTTATGAACAAGGAATACACAAATGAGTTTCAGAGCTGCCTGGAGTTCCACTGGCCATCAAGATTCATGATGTGACCTGTGGAATGCTTATGGAAAATAAATACCTCAAGTTGCATTCTGCTTCCTATTACCATGGTAGTCAGAGTTCTAAATTACTTATATTTGCAAGCACTGAGCAAACTCACAGTTACATATTTAAAGATAAAAGCACACCTGGAGTGTCTGTCCTATGCGATTTGCTATAAACAGAATTCCTTCTTCTAGGTCTTGCAAGCTTGGATAAAACTCTATTTTCTGGTCATCGAGAGTCAATTCCATCTTAAACAAAGGTGGGCCATTTCTGTCTTCAGGATCAAAAAGTTTCACATAAGCTTCAACTGTTCTTGTCAATAAGTCTTTCACCTAGGTAATAACATATATCACCTGTTAGTTAAAAGAAGAGAAACCCCATCCCACTTGCCTTCATTCAGCAAATCAGAATTTCCATTCATTTTACAACTTATGCCCTGACTAATGGGTAACTTCAGGACTATGAATTTTTCTAAGGCCATCAGTGGGTACTAGTCCCAACCCCTAAAGGATGTAAACTAATGAACAAGTACACAAACATCTCAGTAAAGCCCATGCATTTATTTTTGCTACAAAAGTCAGTCTATTACTAACACATGCTCTAAGTATAAATGAAATATCTGGATTTTCCGATTTTCCTCTGATTTTTTTTCAATATGACAATGACTTGATTAGACTACTGTTTCATTATTTTTCTCAAAGTAAATAAAGGTTTAATACCCAAAATACTGCCTTCTTGAACTGCTGAACATAGATATTCCCACTGATTATTATATTCTGACATGGAACAATGTGAACAACAGATGCTCTAAGTGGAAGTTAAAGGATTTTTAATTTTCAGTAAACTGAGAACTTTGAAAAACAATTGACTCAGTCCAAAATCAGTTATTTTCTTGTGAATGTTCTTTGTTTATTATTATTAGGAAATAAACCAATTGGAAAACCCCAAAACAACAACAACAAAATAACTGAGAGACATTTCATATAACTTCCATCTTGATATAAATAATCAGGGAGGAAAAAGGAAAATTAACTCAGCACTGTGGGATCATTTTCCACACAAAAAGAAATGTATTGGAAATGTTCCAGAACTGTATCTACTGGCATACGTGTGGCAGAACCAGACTTCAGCCTGCTTGTGTAAGTAAGTTTGCTTTCAGGGGAGAGAGACCAGGTTTTATTCATTTTGCTGATATATGACATGTGACTGTAGTGCCAAGATCAGTGATAGGAATGGGCCTAAGAACACAGATACTTTCTTCAATAAGTGAATTACATTCTATTTGGTAAAATAAAGTCTTTTTGCATCTAAAAAGCTAGAAGAAACAGAAGTAGACAAGATCATGTATTTATTTTAAATGAGGGAAGTTAAAAATATATAACACCGAATACTTTACTGGGTCATATGCAAACAGATGGCTAACAATGATTAAATAGGTCCCATATCATATCTTATGCTGACTCATTAAATGCAGTGACCTAAATTTCACATTACGTTTATCAAGGAGAAGAAAGATTTTTACCTGATTAGACATAAGAACATCCACACAGTTATAAAAAGAGTCAAGCTGATCCAACTTCACACTATTCAGTGCCTCATTTTGAGTAAAGAGATTGATAACTCTTTGATACCATGTCATCAGTATTTTCTTTTCTGCTTTAGAACAGCTTAGAGAGACATCAGTCTTTAAAGATTCAGAGTCAATTGGCTCTTTCAGTCTAGAAAAGAAAGTTACACCAACTTGATAAACAAAATTTTAAAACCCATGGAGTAAAGAAACAGTCATCCATACTGTATTAGAAACCCATAATTTTTTTTTAGCAGAAAGCACAGTGGGAACCTAAGCATCACTTCTGTAGACTTAAATGAGGAAAAAATACCACGAATCCCAGGAAATAATGAACAGTTACCAGGAAAAATAACAAGGAAAAAGATACGGAGAATTATCTTTCTGAAAATGATGCAAAGTTCTGAGATTAAAAATAAAATTTATCTGATGAGAACTGGCAAGAAACCTGATCTTTAGCACTGAATTCCCTACTCAAGCCAATTTTTCAAATGCTACTTCAACCAGACTTCTAGAGTGACATGGCATTAAAATTAAAAAAATACTGAGGAGACCTTTACAGAATGTAGGGACTGGCAGAATGAAGAACTGCCTGCTGTAGGAGAAAATCAGGTATGAGACCATTTAAGGAACCTGAAGGTGCACAAGCCCATGGGATCTAATGAGATGCAACCGCAGGTCCTGAGGGAACTGGCGGGTGAAGCAGCTAAGCTACTATCCATCATATTCGAGAAGTTATGGCAGTGAAGTTCTCACAAACTGGAAAACTGGAAACATAACCCCTATTTTTAAAAAGGAAAAACAGGAAGACCCAGGGAACTATAGGCCAGTAAGTCTGACCTTGATGCCTGGAAAAATCATGGAGCAGATCCTTCTTGAAACTATACTAAGGTACACGGACAATAAGGAAGTGATTGGTGGCAGCCAACAAGGCTTCAATAATGGCAAAACATGCCTGAAAAATTTGATGGCCTTCTACATGGCAGTTAACAGCAATGGCAGATAAGGGAAAAGCAACTGACGTCAAATGCTTTTCACAAGTCCAGCTAGTTGATACTGTCCCACATGATATCCTTGTCTCTAAATTGGAGAGGCATGAATTTGATGGATGGACCACTGGTGGATAAGGAATTGGCTGGATGGTTGCATTCAAAGAGTTGTGGTCAGTGGCTCCATGCCCAAGAGGAGATCAGTGATGAGTGGTGCCCCTCAGGAGTCAGTACTGGGACCAGTGCTGTTTAACATCTTTGTTGGCAACATGGACAGCGGGACTGAGTACACCCTCAGCAAGTTACCAGCTTCAAAATCCTATATGGGTTAATAATTCACCAAAACAGACTTTACCTGAGGCTTGAGAAATCCACTAGAAGAAAGTCAAATAATGCTGCATATCCAAAATCCAGTAGTGATTTCATTGTGGAGTGGACAATATGCAGCTTGGAAAGGATTTTACTCTTTGCTCGGGTAAAACTCTTATGCCATGCACTAGAAAAATCCAGGCCTCTGAAAAAGAAAAAAAAAAACCATTTTAAGAAAATCACAACCAGATAACCAAAACAAACAGAAGTGAAGAGTTCAAACAATATGTGAATAAAATATATAGAAAGTAGCATCAAAAAGCTTATTCCCCAATGTGAATAGTTATTTAAGTGCCATACACATATCCTCAATGCGAGGCAGTGGAAGCCACAAAAACACTGTGATCAACCATGTTTTATATTCCACAGTATTTTCAGATCACCCGCTCTTTCAGTGTAAACTTTTAACTTCACCAGCTGCTAAGAGGAAGTATTTATCATCACTATTTAGATGACATGCATTCTGATGCTTCAGCAAATAGTGGCATTCAGATATTTTGCCTACTGGATTCCTCCTCTATTTGGGCAGAGCATAATAGCTTTTCCTTTGGTCTCAAGGTTTCACCTCGTAACAGCAAAGGCATATGAAACCTTGCTCTGTTAGATGCAGTTTTAGCATGTTGAAGTACTGTACAATGCTGCTGTCTGCCAGTAAAGAGCCCCAGACACACACATTTTATACCTGGGATGGCTGCAATGACTTGAGATTCTAGGCACTGAGAGCAAGAAGTCTCATTTGCAGTCACTAGCGCTACTCTATGTAACTGTAACAACAGTAACAAAACCCTGTCAGTGCTGAAACTTCGTAAAGCAGTCATATATAAGATGTTTGAATGCATACAGAAAAGAACATCTCATTAAGGGACTCCAGAATTAATACTGTGCCATAATATAATATTGTGTGCTCATGCAGCTCAACAAGAATTTCACTCATGCAACCCAGCGCGTTTTGCCAGTGGCTCAATTTGCTCTTAATCCACTCACACAGGTAATGAAGGCAAAGGTGCCTCCTCTTCATCTTCAAGTCCTTTTATGTCTGGTTTAAGAAGAATACTTCGCACTAGGAGAAAAAATATGCAAACATTAGAAGAAAATTAAGACGTATTCAATAGGTACTGCTTTTCCTAAGTCATTGACCAGTCGTACTCCAGGTTGAACCAAGCACCCAGTAAGATGGAAAGGTAACTGTATCATCCAAGTCTTCAAAACATATTCTCCCAAAGGTAACTCAAAATCACAGCTTCTGCTAAATACCTATTCAGATGGCTTAATTCCAGTGCTGTCCCCCATTCATGAAGGTTTTCAAAGAGAACAGTGTTTAAATAATTAAATACTGAGTAATTTCTTCACCAGGAGGATAGCCGGTCACTGGGACAGGCTCCCCATGAAAGCGGTCACAACACCAAGCCTGGCAGAGTTCAAGAAGCATCTGGACACTGCTTTTATTCATATGGTTTAGTTTTAGGTAGTCCTGCAAGGAGCAGGGATTTGTACTCAATGATTCTTAAGAGTCTCAAGTTGAGACATTCTATGATTCTAAGTTGCAATTTTGTTTAATATAATGACAGTGGGGCACTATAATTGTCTCACTGATGACATTCTGAAGAACTTAATTCCATGTTTAATTGTGATTTTTTTTTAAATCTACATTTTTAAAAAGATCAGCAATCTACCAAAATATTGTCAAAATTTTACTCAATTTCAGATACTATAAATGTGAATTAAAGACATTAATACATGATTTCAAGGGAATACACATTCAAAATTCCAGTTAGCATCTCTGGAAAGAAAGTTTATAAACCAAAATGAGTGGTATGAGCAATATTTGAAACCAGCCACTTATCTTTAGAGCTTTCTAGTGTGAGCTTCCTCATGCATAGAAAGCAGCATTAATGTAGTATTATTAGTGCTGTGTAGTTTCTGGTACTTACCCACAAATCTTCTCATGCTCTTTTCATAATCCTCCATTATCTCCATTAGAAGCTTTTCAACTAACAGCTTTCTATCTTTGCCTTCCATAACTGACTGTGGCACCAATGTCAGTATGGACATCAGCCACTGGTGCTGAATGGGAGCGATGGGATTCCTTAGCACACACTTTCAGAAAGAGATAGTTTTCCTGGAAGGACAATACTGTCAGAGGCCTAATAACTGGCTATGTAAATATTTTTGCATTAAGCTTGACAATGCAGTCTCTTTTTATTTACCATTTCTTATACTTAAGAGGAAGTGACAGAATCTCATCTTTCAGTACTCACTGACTAGTACCCTAAAAGTTACTCTACAGTTGGGAAAATGGCCTCCCTGCCTCAATGATTAAATATAAAATATAACAATTTTTAGTACAGCATTTTCCTTAGTTCTCTGCTGAAGTTTACGACTGATAATAAACAGTTCAAGGTTACCGTTATTGTTCTTTGGGCAAAACTTTATCTGTCAAAAAGTACACACAAACAGAGTTGGCTATTTTCTTGGCCAAAGGAATAGATGTTTATGCTTCTGAGTGATAGTTTTCTTATAAAACAAAATGTAACAAAACATAATAAAACCTAACATCAGCTAGGAAAAAAAGATACAACTATTTCAGTGCTAATCTGAGTTTAAAGTGGCTCTCAGAGATCAAGCCTTATTTTAAAAGCTATACACAAATTCCAGGATCTGCAGGTGTTCGCCAAATCAGGTGGACAATGTCAAAGACTTAACTTTTCTACAAGCTGAAGTACTGTCTATGACCCCAGTGGAACTAAAAAATCCTGAAGCCTGTTAGGATTTTTTCCAAGTAATGATCTTGAACTACATGAGTTTAGAGCCAAACTTCAATTACTAATGGGCATACTTTCTGTAAAAGAAAAATACTTTCCTTCTACTGGAACACAAGAAGAGATTCTTCTTTTGCTTCTGTCGTGGTTTAACGCACAGCCAGACAGCTTGTTACCCACTCCCCCCCTTCTTGCCCTCCCCCTACTCCTGGGGGAACGGAGAGGAGAATCAAAAAGAAATGCAACTCCCACGGGTTGAGATAAGAACAGTTTACTAACTAAGGTATAACACAAATCACTACTGCTGCCACCAATAATAGTAATGATAAAGGAAATAACAAGGGAAGAGAATACAACACCCCATCACCAGGTGACCGATAACTTGCCCCCCCCAGCCCGATCAAGCACCGACCCATACCTCCTCCAACCCTCCAGTCCACTCTCTCACCCCCTTCCGGGTCACTCTCCCAGTACATCCTGGGCATGACGTGCTGTGGTATGGAATACCTCTTTGGTCAGTTTGGGTCAGGTGTCCTGTCTCTGCTTCCTCCCGGCTCCCCTCCTCCCTGGCAGAGCATGAGGCCCACAAAGTCCTTGGCCAAACCAAAACATCATTGTTTTTCAGCTCTGTTCCCAGCTGAAAGTCAAAACACAGCCCTGCACCAGCTACCAAGAAAGAGAAAAATGACTGCCACTGCTAAACCCAGGACAGCTTCCTATTCCATTTTTCCCCAACAAAACTATTGAAAAAGCACTTCCTGTTTAACCAACATTAATCGCAGATAACACACTAATCCTTCTGAATAGAGAACATTCACTCTTCTACTCTAAAAAAAGCAGAAGAAAGAATTTAACTCACCATCTGTTTTTTTAGCTCATTGTTCATCTGTATAAAAAAGGAACAGAAAATTCTTACGTATTAAGAACACACACACACAAAAAATCAGAAATATACAATTTAATAAATATTCTTAAACAAAGACTTTATTCTGTAGATATACAGGTATCAGTTTCAATGGGACTACTTGAGCACATAAATACATTTATAAATTACTAAGGATTGAGATAAATATCTTTAAGTAAGTACTAAGAAGTAAGAGCCATAAATGCCCAAATAACAAAGAACAGGCCACAGTTAAAATATTACAGAAATACTTTCTCACAGTGGAAGGCAGTTCTGGGATAGGAGGTACAGGTTTTCTGTTGTGTTTTTCTTCCATGGACACATGATAGGCTTTTAAAGCTTGATCAATTCTGAAGTAAAACAGAGAGTCAGATGTGCAGAAAAACTACAAATAATATATTAAAAATAATGCTATCATTTTAAATTATGCAACATGTTTTTTTCTAATTTACCAGTTCTTTTTCATTTCTATAAATACAGAGAAATAGGGGGAAGATGGGAAAGAAAAGGAAAATAAAAACTTAGGGAGTGGCTGGGCTGAGGTTCACTAAAAGACTGTCCTTCCATGGCATCTCAAGTTTTGCTTGAGGCCGAGTATGGCTATCCCAAAAGCTTAACAGCAGGGTTACCCTGGAAACACGATGCACAAACTGACAACTGCATTTCAACAGGTTCTCACAGAGGAGGAGAAAGCCAAAGCCACTTCCTAAATTGTCAGTATGTCCTAGAAATGAATTAAAACAGGCGGTGGTGGAGGCACCCGAATAAATAAAGCTCAGCCAAAGGTAGGCGAGGCCCTATCACGTTTTCCTAGAGCTCTCTCAGCCCAGCAGAGCCCGGGTGTGTGGAGGGAAGAGCCCCTGCCATCGCCCCGCCGCTCGCCCGCCGGCCTCACCTGGCCTCACCTGGCCTCACCTGGCCTGGCCTGGCCTGGCCTCGCCTCGCCTCACCTCACCTCACCTCACCTCATCTCACCTCACTTCTGCCGGTCCCGCGGTCCCGGTGGATCGCCAGGCACGATGGCGGCGCGCAGCCCGCTCGGCACAGCAACGCGGTTGCCAGGCAGCGAAGGGCGGGCGCGCACGGTGGGACCCGCCCAGCCCCTCAGGCCCCCAGCGCCATGTCTCTCGGGACCCAGCCGGGGACCCTGGTGCCCAGAACGGAGCGCTCATTCGACACCCGTTTGTTCACAGAAGGGTGTTTGCCGCGCTCCGTGTAGAACCAGGCTACTGACAGGCTCTTGTGATGGGAAAAAGAGAGCAGCAGCAGAGACTTTTTAGTCTGCCAGAGGGCTTGCTACAACCCAAGGAAGTCGGTGTCTTTGCTCCAGCGTTCTGCCTGCACAAAGCAGATATAAGCTTTGCTCCAGAGGGCAGCACGAATGCCTAAGGAGTTACAACACCATCACGCAACAGGCAGCTGCTGCTGAGCTTCTAGGAAGCTGCTACTTTCTAAGGAATTCCGGAGACTGACTATCCACTTGCCCACATTTGACTAAGAGACTCGAAAATCCTCATTTTGTAGCTGCGTGGCAATGCCCCACAAGCAGAGGCCGCAAGAACAGCTGGAGGGAATTTCAGATGCGGTTTCGGGAGCACTGGGCACCATCCTCACACATTCTCACAGCACAGGACTGCGCAGTCTGAAGTTTCAAACTAGACACGAAATACCTTCTCACAAACGACAAACCCAACCCCTTTGATACCAAGGGATTTACGCAGAAGCCGTTTGCACCGAGTTACGTGGGAGATCAATCCGCTTTCCCGGCTGCCGCTTACCAGGAGGAAGTGAGAGCTTTCCTGAGGGGACGGGATGTGGCTGCTGAGGGGACAAACCCCGCGGTTTATCCCAGCAGCGTCACCTACACGGTGCACAAGGGTTACGAGCTGTGATCGGGGCCAAGCACGCACCACGCAGACGAGGTGAATCACGCCTACCCCTGCTGCCGTTGCCGCAGCGGGGCCGCCCTTCAGTCAGCAACCGCCCTCCTGAGGAAGCACCGCCCTCCTAAGGAGCCTTCCTTCCGGCCGGTGCGCGCGGTGCCTGTAGGGAGTGCCGCTCCGCCCCAACCCGCGCCCCCGAGGCCGTCGCGCGCGGCTCATCGTTTCCGGGCGCGGGTTGCGGAAGTCGCGGCTCCATGTGGCGCCGGCTGCGCTCCGCCCTCGGGAGGCTCCGCGCGCCGCCCGCCGCGCTGCCCGCCATGGAGCGGGCCGTGGTGCGGTGTGTGCCCTCCGAGCCTAAGCTGACGCTGCGGCTCGTGCTCCCCGACGGCAGCGCCAGGCACATGCAGCGGGACAAGGCGGAGCCGCTGGGGCGGGTGTTGTCCCGCATCGCCGCCAACACCGCCAAGGGTAACGCCAAGGCGGCGAAGAAGAGCAAGAAGGCGCGGGCGGCGGGTGCCCCGGCCGAGGAGGCACCGGCGGAGCTGCCGGCCGTGCGGCTCTTCTGCGATGGGGAGGCGGTGGATGAAGAGGTGCCCAACGTGGCGGCTTGGCAGGACGGCGCCGTGCTGCACATCGGGGAGGCGCGGTACCGCGTGGAGCGCAACCGGCCCACACTCACCGAGCTCCGGCTGCCGCGCTCGCTGCTGGCCGGCTTCCCCGTGTGCCCCAAGGTGAGCACCGAGTTCGCCGCGCCGCAGCACTGCCTCTTCCGCTGGTACCGCGAACAGCGGCCCCCGGCTGGCGGGGAGGCGGCGGCCGGTGATGGCCCAGACTGGGTAGAGACGGCGGTCGTCGAGCGCGTTTTCGTCCCCTCCAACGCGCTGGTGGGGCTGCGGCTGAAGCTGCAGTGCACGCCCGGGGACGGGGCGCAGCGGTACGGGCAGCCCCGCGAGGTGGAGAGCAGCGGCCCCGTAGAGGCTGGTCCTGGCGCCTGCATCTTCGACTCCCGGCACGTCTACACCAGGAAGGTGTGCGGAGAGGGCTCCGTCCGCACCGTCACCTACAACATCCTGGCCGACATCTACGCCCAGACGGAGTACTCCCGCACCGTGCTCTACCCGTACTGCGCCCCGTACGCCCTGGAGCTCGACTACCGGCAGAACCTGCTCAAGAAGGAGCTGGCGGGATACAGCGCCGACCTCATCTGCTTGCAAGAAGTGGATAAATCCGTCTTTGTGGACAGCTTGGCTCCAGCTCTGGATGCTTTTGGGCTCGAAGGGCTGTTCAAGATTAAGGAGAAGCAGCACGAAGGCCTGGCCACTTTCTACCGTAGGGACAAGTTCAGCCTCCTAAGCCAGCATGACATAGCTTTCAGCGAAGCCCTGCTCTCAGACCCGGTGCACAAGGAGTTGTGTGATAAGCTGGCCAAGTACCCCTTGGTGCAGGAGAAGGTGCTGCAGAGGTCATCTGTACTGCAGGTACCAGCTTTTACATGCATTCTTTCTTCTACTGCTTCCAGGCAGGTGCAGCCAAGTTGGGTTTGTTGAGTGTTAGATCAAGGAGAAGGGAGCTGAGGGAGAAACAATGTTAAACATAAATAGAGCAGTGGTATATTCTGTGTTAGCTAGATAACAGCAAAAGAGCAACTTAGGACCAAGAACAAAATATCGAGTCTTTACTGAACTGGATGTATGGCATTATCAGAATTTGTTAAAAAAGGCAGAACTGAAGACAGCAACTGAGATTCAGGACCACGATTTGAGCTCATGGTGGTATTAGCTGCCAAGTTTTTCACTACTTACTCTCCCATGTCAGCATATATATTTCATAAAACTTAAACTTTGCAAATAAGTTCTAAATGAGATTCAGTTAATTCAGCTTGCTTTAATAGTGCCATTTGTGACAGTAGGGAGAGAAATAAGGTTGGACAGGTTTGTGAGCTTCTTGATTCCAGAGGGTCTGCCAGCAGAGCTATTGTGTAAATACAAACGTGTAAGCTACAGGTCTGTGTCAGGGATTTCAGAAACACTCATTGGTAAACGCTTCCTATTCGTGGGCTGAGTAGGAGTAACAAGCTTTCTTTGATAACTGAAATGGCCTCTAAATTTATGTTCAGTTTAACTGTGCAGTGCTACAGTTTGCTTGCTAAAACCAGAGGTGGGAGAATAGAAAATAAAAGTCAAGAATGCTAGTGTTAGC